TTTTTTATACTGTTTTTTCTCTATCCACTTTGCTGCTGTAACATTGGAATTTCCCTATTGTGGGACGAATAAAGGAATATATCTATCTATATCTATCTATCTATCTACAATGTAAGAAAAACAGTAAATGAGCCAAAAAAGGGACTATGAGGAGAAAGTGGAACTACAGTTCCAGGAGACTAATCTTAGAAGCATTTAGCCATGTCTAACCCACTACAGGTTGCCTACCCTACCCAACTAATCAGCAATGAATGCCAAAGCACACATCCCCCACACTGCACTATTCCAACTGGTCAAAAACAGTGCTACATGAGATTGTTCATTGACTACACTTTAGAGTTTAACACCATTCCTTCCAGGCTCATCACAAAGCTGAAGGACCTGGGATTAAACACCTCACCCTTAACACAGAGCACCCCAGGGCTACATTTCGAGCCCCCTGCTTTACTCATGGGATCCCAACTACATGTATAACAGACTTTTCTCCCTTCTGTGGTTGGCGAAGAAGTACTGGATACACCAAGCCAGAGATGCAGAAAGAGGTTCTACCCTCAGGCCACTATATCCTAAATGAGGTCACATTAGTGTGAATTTGGCACACCACAAGATTTTTTTTATATTCTTTGGCTCATATTAGAAAAAAATGAGAAGAAGACTATAGGATAGACTGTGATGTATTTTTTGCCTGTGGCAAGTTTGCTCCTCTAACTGATCTCTGCTCTCACTCACACACCCTCTGCAGTGAGGGTTCACTGAGCTCCCAGCTGTCACACACTGAGCTCAGAGTCCAGGGGGCTGAGGGAAGCAGTGGAAGCAGAGCTGAGATTAGTTGAGGCTGCTGGGGGATTGTCCTGCTCCTATCTGAGAGCTGGAGGTGGAGTCTGATGTCTCACTTTAGCTTTCCACACACAAAGAGGATTTGCTCAGACTGGAAGGGATATAAATATAAAGGTGGCTCAGACCCCAATCAGTCTTGTTTATCTACCCAGTGATATTTATAACAAAAACGATATATATTTATCAATAAAGGAACATGACATAAAATGATTCTTCATTTAAGATGAGCTTAAGATAAGATAGCGTTTTCACATGGTGAACCACCAGATCATCCTCTCCACTCTTCAATAATTGGGAGTCTCTGCACTCTCCCTGTTAACATTCCATTTTAAGGACCACACTTACAGGGTAACTTGAAGATAATCTGTGTCTAAATATTGAAGCCTCACTACTGGAATTCCTCAGGGTTCTGTTTTGGGTCCCATTATCTTTTCTGTTTACACCAAGTCACTTGACCCTGTTATTCACTTTCAGGTTTTTCTTACCACAGTTATGCAGATGACACTAATTCTGGATATCTGTCAGTGGGTGTGTATACGCCACCTGAAGCTCAACCTCGACAAGACTGAGCTGCTCTTCCTTCCAGTAAGGTAAGGTAAGGCACAGAAAATGATTCTTTCCTCCTCCTCTTCCTCCTCCCCCTCCCCTATCCTCTGTTGGGAGGTGGTGCAGAGTGGATAAACAGAGAGAACTCCTCCACAGCAAGGGAAAATCTTGTCCATAGAAAAGCATGAGTGTTGTTTGGTCTTGACTTGTGTTAGACTGATATTAACTGCAGGGTCTATATATATATTAACATGAGTCTTCAGCTAAGTCTAATCTTTGATGTGAAGGAGGAAGCAAAAACAAGGAGCAATATGGGATTTATTCAGAGCTCATCCTGAGTTTTCTTCACTGTTTGAACTGCTCATCATTGTCAATCAGTCAGGTAAATAAGTTTACACAGTAGATAGTGATTGTTAATGTTAATGTTACCGTGTGATTGCAGGAAACAACTATTTTAAAGTCCTGAGCTTAACAAGTCACACCAGGTTGAAAATCTAATTTTAGCCGATGTAATCTGGGAGAGAAGGATTTGAGTTAACAGTGCTAAAGAAGAAACGTGCTGCTGAGCTAATGGGACCAAAAACAAACAGAAACTGTTGTACTGGCTGTATAGAAAATCAACAGGATTTATATTAATACTACCTGATATAAATGTAGGCCTAATAGAAGTCTGTATGTGATTACAGAGATTGAGATTTCATCTAATTTAGACTTGGCCAAGTCAGTAGCATTGAAATGTAAACAAAAATGTGTTTCTTCAAGACCAGAATATCAAACTGAAAAACATAAAAGCATTTAAGCAAAAAGGGTTTGAAAATCAAAACCAGTATGTCCAGTCAACTGGAGTAATTATCAGTTTAGTTCTCTGTTCAGGGTCTGGAAATGGAACCACAAAACCTCTGGTTACAAGCTCAGTTCTCTAAATAAATAAATAAATTTGTATCCCAAGCCAGCTTCTCTAATCTTTACTGCTTCTGTCTACAGAATCTATTTCTTCTGTTCTTTTAGCTCATGTATATACACGAGCTAAAATAACACACATACATTGTGTGAATGTATGTGTGTCTACCAGGTTATGACTAATAAAGATATAGACACTGAAATAAGGAGTAAGATGCATTTTAATACAATTGAGTGGGTGTTGGGTTAGGATGACAACATTAAATACTACACACTGAAATTAGTTTACATTTGACAATGAATTTTAACATTTCTTCTTTTGAGCCAAAAAAACATAATTTGAAAATGTACTTTTAGGACTTTATTTTAAGGGACTTGGACTCAGTACTTCTTAAATCTTGGCTATAGCTCTGGCTGTGATAAGTGCAATCAGCTGACTAACACTTTGAATTTGTAGGCCCAATCTGGGGAATGGACATACATTCTGGACACGTTACGACTGAGGCCTGGTTGTTCACATAAAATATGATTATTAGTAATCCCCACTAATGTAAACCATCTCAGCCAACTTGTCTCAGTGAGAAGGCGTAGTAGTTCAACTTTAAGGTGCTTCTTAACTACTGAATCTCTCTGTCACTTAGAGCAGTGGTTTCAACAGTATAAGAAATTGTTTATAGACTTCTTATGGACAGTAATTAAAGGCCTTATGAGTTTATGGCTGGTTTATTACAAACATATTAATGATTTATTAACCTTAATAAGCACTGCCCCCGCTTTAGAATATGTATAACTATGTTTTCATTAGTGTATAATCACCTGAAAATAAGAATTGTTACATTATCGTTACCTTAGAATAAGCCCTTTTATCTACAGACACCATGGATTGCCTTCCATAGTCTCCGCCATGCCTGCAGTAGCCTAGAATGGACAAACCAAACACTGGCTCTAGATAGGGCCATTAGTGTTTTTCATTTGCGCATAGATTCTACTCTCACTTGGAATGGGGGGGTGCAGCCACAGGGGTTGCAAATCGCAACCTACCCGACTATCTGCCATTTTACTAACTACTACTACTATTCTGTATG